CGGGACTGGGGGAAGACGGCCCTAACGGCCGCTCCCTGCGGGGGAACCCGGGGCCCAAATCCCCCGGCGGCGTGCGGTCCCTGGCAGATTTGGAAGTGAGATGCAGAGTGGCCGCGGCAGCCCGGGTGACCGCGACTTTCCTGGTAACCGAGGAAATTGGTACCCACAGCCTCAAAACTGCCGTGTCTGTGTCGGTGAGGAACCCCTCGTCCATTGCATAGATGGGAAAGAAACTCCACGTTTAAGAAATAGATGGTTCACTTTTTTCTTAATATACTGACTGACCTTTTCTGTCACATGGCAAATAATGTATTCTAGTTCCCCTGGCAAGTGAAGCATTTGATAGCCTTGTTCTCTGATACACTTCTAATGATAAAAAGTGTCTTTCCTTGCAAAATCCTCCTATATCTTAACCCCATCGCTGCCAATGATAAAAACAGAGTGTTTTAGTTTACATTCAGCTGCTGCTACTTAGAAAGAAGTTGAAAACACCACTTTTCCTGGGTATCTGACTTTTTGATAAAGCAGGGACAAGTGGAAGAAGCATTAAAGGTTTCTTTTGCTCCTGGGAAAGTTTTGCTCCGTTGCTGTTCTGCTTGGGCCTGCTTGCTTGTTTTCCAAACACAGAAACGTAAATGGAATTCGGTCATTATGGAGTTTTCCTGATAGTTCAAGATTTCAAATTCAGATATGGCTCTTTATCACATCTGACCCCTAAAGGCCACCTTTGGCCAGAACAAATTGAACTAAGATGAGATGCATTGCACATTTCCCATGAGATGCATTTCAGCAATTTTTCTTCTGCTAATAACAATTATGGTCTGTTCCACTATTCTAGCCCTGTTCCATTTGTGGAAAACATTTGAATTCGTGTTCTCTGTGTTATTTTTTTTTCTTTTTAGTTTTTCCTTTATTATTCTGGATACTATTTGCAAACAAATATTTAGACCAAAATATGTAGCCTTTCTTATGTGTTTTCAGGATGTTTCCTTTAATATAGTATACAGACACTTTAAACATTTGTAAAATGTGAAAATTATGATTTCACAAACTCTTAAATAATCTAAGCAGAAAATTTAATTGGATCTTTCAAATGAAATCTTTGAAATCTGGAAATTTGTAGCTATTGTTTTGCTTTTGCCTTTATCTCTCTTAAACAGGTTGCATTAAAGTCAAACATTGCCACTGTGAACAGAACTTGTTATCATGAAACTCACTGGAATTGTCTGCATCCAGGAGCGATATGGAGCAATTTTCAACATGGAGGAGAAATTCTTACATGTGTCTGGTAACAGAAGACAGTATTTCACTGACACAAAACTTACACTGAGTGGGATAGCAACACCCTGGCACCAAACCTCGAACTCTAAGGTGAATGGAAATGCTGGAGCGCTGAATGAAACAAGTATGAGAGCAGTGGTGACAGGCGGCGGAGGCTATTTTGGATACAAGCTGGGATGTGCTCTTGCCAGCGCAGGAGCTTCTGTTGTTTTGATTGATTTACACAAGCCTATCTGGGAAGTTCCCAATGGAGTAGTGTGTATCCAGGTATGGTAAATTATATTTTCACAACAGTCAAAGTTAGTTCATTTGCCTTTTCCATAATGTCTTACTAGTTTTCACAGAATCCAAACACCTAATTGCAAATTATTGAAAATTTCAATAACTGTGTTAACTGTGTGAATATCCCACAGGATTTTTTGTGAACTGATTTAAGTATATCTGAAATAAGGAAAACAATGATACCTGTAATGCGTAGCACAGAATACTCACTTCACCTCCTGACTCTGAAGTACTCCTTGGAATCCAGCCACTCAGTTTAATCACCAGCAGAATGAACAAGGGGGTATTATGTGACCTAATGAATGTTTTTAAAGTCATTTGAGTTCTATGGAAGAAAGTATGATTATCACCAAATATTGAAATGGGCCTAGTTTTCAGTACCAGGATGTACAGTACGTACAACTATATACACACATTCCTTCTATGTTAACCTGCTACATGATAAATGCTAGCCTGCAGTTTTGATCTCAAGTCCAAATATCTTTTTGTATGTATTACAGGCAGATGTCAGGGATTATGCTTCCATATTTGCAGCCTGTGAAGGGGCTGACTGTGTGTTTCATGTAGCTTCATATGGAATGTCAGGAAGAGAGCAAGTGAGTCCAAGTCGGTTTGTACTTTTCTGTGTGACTGCTCACACTGAGGATGACTCGATGCTGTACCACTGCATGTTAGATGTTCTCTCTTTAGATTATCCTGAAAGCCTGAATCCACATTCATGCTGTTCTGTTAAACTGTTCTGTGCAAATTGATGTGCAATGAGTACTGATGAATAATTTTTATTATTAAAGTTACAAACACCCCCTCCCCTTTCTTACCTTATTTAATAAAATGAACTTCAGTAATCACCTTAGCTGGATAGAAGAGCTCATTCAAAGATGTTTGCAATTGAGCAATGCATACTTGGAATTGGTCATTGAAGTGCTACTAAAACATGGATAACATATTGCTGCAAGGTGTATAATCACTAGAAATGTGTATTCAGAAACACCACAATTCTCTTTGCTTCAACCAGGCTAGACAGTGAAAATACAAGAAAAATACAGGCATAGTTTAAAAATAATGATTTGACTTCTTGAAGTCTGAAACAGCAGTCTGAATGATCTTCTTTATTATCAAAGCACTACATTTATTTGAGGACATTTATAACATCCCCTTATTGAATTTAAAATTTATTATTATTAAAAAATGTGTAATTCCTTTATTTTCCTAGCTGCACAGAGAAGAGATTGAAACTGTAAACATTTGTGGAACAAGATTCGTCATTGATGGTATGTATCTAACCTTGCCATTGAGGGTTAGTATAGCGTATCAAAATATTGTGCCACTTAGAAAAAGCCATTTGGCTTTTTTGGCACACACGATTTTTTACCAAATACTTTACATTTTTGGCAGAAGATGAGGAAACATATCATTGAGGGGTTTTTTTATGCTCGGTTCTGCTATGGGGTGTGATATGAGAGCCAGCACTGTAGTTCAAGTACTTCAGCTTTTCATAATCATATTTGACCTGATGTCAGAAATCTGTATCCATGTAAGGAGTTAACTACTTCCACGTGTATTTTGTAGCAGCAAACCTCACTGTTATCTAATGGCTTGTGCACAGGTAGTGGGCAGCCCTTGCAGATGGACTTCAGCCACCTACCTGGCTAGAGCTGAACAGTGGGCTGGCAGCAGCCCTCCCAGAGGCACAGTGTTGGCTTACAGCATCCAAATTAGGATGTGCCAGGTTAGAGAACACTTGATTCTACACTGACGTTGTCTCTTGAAATATGCTTTGCCCGTTAAATCACCCAATCATACGATGGAAGGGTTTGCTCTTTTAAGATTGGACAGTTTCTTAGGAAAAGGTCATACAAACTTTTTTCCCATGGTGTTTCAGTTTCCACTAATCTACTTTACACTTTGCCACAGCCTGCAAACAAAGGAACATCACTAGACTGATTTACACCAGTACAGTAAATGTGGTGTTTGGAGGGCTTCCTATTGAAGATGGTGATGAGGAAACTGTGCCATATTTTCCCATAGAACAGGTATTTTGGTTCTATTATACTTTCATGTTTCCTGTTTACTTTCTTGTTTTTGAAAAAGCCTGGCATTTTCATGACCATGTTTTGCCTGATGCCAGAATCCATTGCCAAGAAAGAAAACTCTTTACAGTCTTTGTAGATGCTGTTCACAGACTTGACACTTCGGTTGCAATAACCCCAAGCAGCGCTACAGACTTGGGGATGAGTGGCTG